TCACTTTTTTTTCCCCAAACCATCAAAAACTTAACCCCAAAATAGTCCAAAGCAAGTGATGTTGGGTTAAGTACAACCCCTACATCGTCTTATGAGCGATTCACAATTAATATTGAATATTGGTTTGCAGCTCACTCGCAGGGCAATGAATATGTACATATATAAGGTTACCCGTCCAAATGACTGTGGGGGGTCTAACCCCTCCCGGAACGTTCGGCGCTCTGATTATTTGCTGGGGATCGAACTCCAGTACGTTCAGCACCAGACATGCACTGTTTGGGGCTCTAAATCTTTCTTTTGCTAATTCTTAGGTATTGGAGGTACAAACACAAAATTTCAATGTGACCGGCTCAAACAAAGAACATAAAAATCGCTAGCATTTTTTTTTGGGGGGGGGGTAAGAACATCTTAAGCTCCTAGGGCTTTTATTTGTATTTTTTGTTCTTGGGATAATTTGTGAAATACCCCTATAAGTTGAGATATATGCCACACTGCCCCTAAAAGATATGGGTAAAGCGGAATACCCCTCTGACACGAAAAATTCTTTGCGAATTGCCCCTGGCGTCGGTTGGAGCTGTCATCTTTGCAAAATACCCCTACCAGATACTGTCCATGTTTGCAAAATGTCCCCGTACTTTGCAACTTTCCCCATTCCCTTTGTATGTTCGTTTTACCCCTAGTGGCCCTGGTCATCTTTGCGTTTTGCCCCCTCGCTGTGTGTTTGTGCGTGTGTGTGTGTGTGTGAGAGAGAGAGAGAGAGAGGAGGATGGGGAACCTCAGAGACAGGCCTTGTATTGCGCAAAGTCGCCCACCCGGTATGGAGTGCAAACCGGGCAAAACAGGGTGCAGGCCAAGGTCCCAACGATGCGGTCCAGGTTGCAAATTTGCACATGGGCCTGACAGGGGAGAAACGCAAAGAATTACGCCCAAAACGGCATATTGAGCTCTAACCAGATCTTATAGGGGCAGTTTGGCATATATCTCAACTTACGGGAGCTTTCATTTTTATTTTTATTTTTTTCGTTCTGTTTTTTTTTTTTAATTATTATTCAAAGTGCCAAAATCGATCGATCAATCAATCAATCATCTGTGAAGCGACCTGCGATGGCAATGGCAACGGCGGTGGGAATGACCGACTTTGCCAGCATGGTGGTGCCCCTTCTGACATACGTTGTGACGTCACCATCATCATTGATGACACAGCAGCCTCAGGATGGTAGTGCGGTTTCATCTGACTCTTGAGCAGCCATGGTGGATATGTGTAGACATGGAGGAGCATCAGGACAAGCAAGCAGAGGAGGCAGGGAAGGAGGGGGACGACTAGTCAATCCACCCCCGCCAACCATATCATTATTCCCTGACAAGCACACATGTACACAGTCGTGCCTTCTGATGGTGTAGCATAGCGAACACAACCACACACGACAGACACACACACACCCACAGTCAGGTTGTTTTCCACGCAGCCACACACACACCCACAGTCAGGTTGTTTTCCACGCAGCCACGCACAGTCATGGTTTCGTTTTGTGAAGTTGTGCACAGTGAACAAGACAACACACACACACACACACACACACACACACACACACACACACACGTTTTATTCTTGGAGTTCCAGCTTTCCCCCACACACGTTTTCTTCTTGAAGTTTCAGCTTTCCCCCTCCTCTCCCTCCTTAACTGACAACTTTCATTCCTATATTCCAAAATCTCTCTCTCTCGCGCACATGCGCACGCTCGCTCGCTCTGTTTTTTCTAATTTTGTTTTTACTCTTCTGCTGCGAGCAGATTCACATCTGAGTAACGCCTGACCCTCCGATCTTTTCCCGTTGCCTTTCTGCTGCGACCGGATTAAAATGTGAGTATGGCCTCGTTGTTTTCCTTCCACGGCTTCCCCCTTTTCTTCATCCTCCACCTTGACAACTTCCGTACTTGTATTCCAAACTTTCTGATATACCCCGGTACTTGTATTCCCAAAATTCTGATATACCCCAGTAGCTCCCACCCCGGGGTCAGGGGAAAGGCCTCGATTGCCAAGAACGGCCATGGGGATATACTGAAAAGATGCACAGTACCGGTCGGGGCATATGGGAAATTCTAGTGCAGGTAATCATGGCATACTGAAAAGATTCACGGTACGGGTAGGGGCATATGGGAAATTCTAGCGCAGGTACTCGACGGCCATCCGGGAGTGGCATAGTGGAAATTTGGCACCGGCACTGCAACGGGCATATTGAACATATTTCAGTCCCAAACGACGGGAGAGGTTTTCTGGAAACTTGAATCGTTGTCAGAGGGGCAAATCAGGGTAGGTCGCCGATCAGAGGGACAAACCACAAATAAACGCAAATTTCAGGGCCATGTTGCAAATTTTCCCTTTCCATCTGGAGTGATGGGAATTTTTGGACCTAAAGTCCGCAGGTTTTGCAGCACGTTTCAAGATCAGAAGTATGCAGGGTTGCGTTTCTCTAACGTCATGTTTAATGCAGGATTTCCAGGATTATTAGTCTTCAATCGAAAGATTTAAACGGCTGCACACCTGAAGACTATTCGATTCTGCAAATGGCCAGTATAGGAAACTTCTAGAGGGGCAGGACCGTGATTTCAGGATAACTGCGGCAGTCATATGCCACCCCGGATTTGTAACCCTCACAATGCCACTGATGAAACCCGTAAAGGAAACGACTGCGACCGACCAAAGTCGTAAAAAAAACTAGATGAAACCCATCAAAATAAAAAGAAACCGCACCTCTCCATTCCCTTTCTTCCCCACTGGCCCACTTCTTCTCACCTCTTTGATATTGTTTCTGCCTATTTCTCGGCTCCTGCATTCTTTGTCATCTCCATCTCCCATTCTCTCTCTCTCTCTCTCTCTCTCTCTCTCTCTCTCTCTCTCTCCCTCTCTCTCTCTGTGTGTGTGCGTGTGTGTGTGTGTGCCTCTGCTCGGCACGAACACCACACACTTCCACCTCTCTCTCTCTCTCTCTGTGTGTGTGCATATACAGCTCTAGTCTTTGGTATTCCCATGAGCTGCTGTCGCATCTCACGCACGCATCCGCACGAGCCCACACGCTCAGATAACAGCGCACTCCCTGCGCGAGTGATAACCAAATCTCCCCTCCACCTGCCGTGCCCCTTTTGACCTCCCTACATTCCTCCTTTACCCCTCCATCCTGCTACCCGCAAAACATGCACTCGCACTCGTCTCGACGCTCAGTTTGTCTCGGTTGAGGAAGGCATCCCTCAAATGGGACTCCACCCGTTACCTCCGAAGGACGCAACGTGACACTGCACATACGCTCCGACCTGCTCCACCTCCTTCTCTGGTCCCACTTCTGCAGGGAGAACCCCCTTTCCCCCACCAGCCCTCTCTCCCTGCCCGCCAGCTACACACCGAATCGTTATCATATTTGTTTTCGATATTTTTCTTATAATTCAGTACCATCATTCACCACCAGTCAAATACGATGTTGTACTATATTACTTGGTTCCCTAACAGATTCGATTCCTTCCTTTTGACCAAACGGTGCTCGATTCTTTCAAGCGAGCAATAAAGTGACCAATCAAGCGAGCAATCAAGTGACCAATCAAGCGAGCAATCAAGTGACCAATCAAGCGAGCAATCAAGTGACCAATCGAGTGAGCAATCAAGTGACCAATCAAGTGACCAATCAAGCGAGCAATCAAGTGACCAATCAAG